GCCGAGCACAGACACACTTGTCTCCAGCCCCAGCACTGTCATACAGGGAGTGAAGGGTGCCAGTGTGCCCTGTCGCCTGGCACAGCTGAGCACAGAGACGCACAAATTCGTTTCCAACCCCAACAGAAGGGGATCGATTGCAGTCTAAATTCCACTGCCAGAGAAATGCACCGGGGAAGGCGGAGTCCCAGGGACAAAACTTTAGCTGCAGAGTGAGGAACTACAGACATGCACCAGTGCCCTGAACCTGTTACAGAGGTGACATCTCCTCCCTCTCGAATCTAGGCAGGGTCCTACTCTGCCGCCACGGAGTTGGCATAGTTTTGGTATGGCGGAGCGATCCACCATCAGGGGGAGGGTGGGCGCTCAGATCTCTTACGATTTCATGGGGGCCCTTTCCACGTAGTCTGGGAAGAACTGGCTGCCTCTGACATAGCAACATCCTTATTCTACAGCTCTCTTATCATAGCAGTCTGACTGCAGTTTAGGGTTCCCTGGGTCAGAGCCCAGGAGCGATCAGGATCATATCCGTGACAGGGGCACAGGTTATAGACTCAGTGAAATCAAAAACGGGCTAGGGAGGAAAGATAGAAGCTAGGGAAGATGATAAGATAGGATGGGCAGAGACCCAGGCCCTCTGGTGCAGCAGCCAAGAGGCGGAGGTGTTTCAGTGGAGTGTGAGGCCTGGTCTCCGGCTCCTCTGGGGCGATGTGCCGTGCGTTGCGGAGCTGACCGAGGCCCCGTGGCTCCCTCCTTGTCCTGTCGCTCCATCAGGAACCCTGCGAGGCGGCGGACGCCGAGGAGAAGGCGGCGACAGGGGCGCCGACCGCGCCGCCGGTCGGGGGGGCCCAGCCCTTCGCCAAGCCGGGCCCGGAGCGGCGGGAGAGCGAGGCGGCGGCGGCGGCGCCCGCGGACGGGGCTCTGAAGAAGAGGGACTACGACAACCCCTACTTCGAGCCGCAGTACGGCTTCCCCACGGAAGAGGACGGAGAGGGCGACGAGCAAGAGGAGAGCTACACTCCCCAGTTCAACCAGAACATCAACGGGAACAAGTGAGACTGGCGTTCTCAGTCCTGTTAACCCCCC